GAATAGTCCTTTTTCCTTAGGAAGGTTCCTAACTGAAAGAAATGACCTGGAAGTGTCTCCATGGCGGTCGTAGTAAGAGCTATTCCAGTTCTGTCATACTAACTGATAAAAGGGTGATTAAGGTTCAGTGTAATCAGTTTGCATTAGTAATGTCCTTTGCTGTATTGCAGTCATTAAGGTTATGATAAAAAAAAAAACATTTTCCTGAGAACATAGCTGAGATCTATGGCCTCACACTTGGTGGTTCACCAAACTCTTTTTTAACTACCTCAGCAACCTTAGCGCCAGTGATGGCTGAGTCATCTGCCTCATCCCAAGACTCTGCTTACTCTATGAAAGGTGTGTCAGTGGGATTTAGGCATTGGTCAAAGTTTGCCTTCTTCTGTCCCAGTTGAGGTCCGCGATACTCTGTCCCTACACTGTAAGGTACGGTCAAAACTTTGCATCAGTCAGTTTGTCAGAGCTGGTTTGAGGCTTACCGAAAGTCATGTTCAGTACTTGCACCAACAACTCTGAGCTGATGTTCAGCGAATAAGAACAAATGAGTCAAGACCCATTCCCTGACCCAGACGTGCACAGAGGTGACCGCCTTGTCCATCGGAGCGAGCCACAATGGAGGAATGCTTTTATTGTTCACCATATGGACTTACATGGAGATACAATTTTAACCTCCTAGGACCTGGTGTCTCGGCCACAATACTAAATTTTGCTCTTTCAAATGAGCCATATTGCTTAAAGGGCTCAGTTATTGTTTCTCATTTTGTTTTCGTACTCAGGAAAAATGCTGCTGTGTTCAGACACCAAATAAAGAGTTTTGCATATCATTATTCAATTGTGACTTTACAGTGTTCTATCAACAGTATAAAGCCCGAATAGTAAAGAGAAATTAAAAATGCATGCCATCAAAGAGTTCAGGTCTTCAGAGGTTAAAATGCATAATTTCAAGTTTATTCACAACATTTGCGTTAAATAAGGTTTTATTGTTTGAAATATATACTTAAGCTTGGACTCAACCTTTATGTTTAAACTGACCTGTTATATATGAAAACAATCTAAAATTTCCTCAGAAGTCAGTGATGACTATGATTGCATTAGCAATAAATTTAATAATGCTCTATAATAACAGTTACACACTATATAGAACCACTTTACAGATTATATTTGTTCACAGATGTTGGCAGCTGTCAGCGAATAGTTATCAGCTATTATGAAACAAAAAAAAGACTTTTTATCCATAACAGCAAATGAACTG